AATAAGGACTGCCTACAAATCAGCAAGAAAAAAGGTAATAGTTGTAAGACACAAAATCCAGAAGCCATAAAGAGACTTGCAGGTTTAATTACATACAATTTTGAAACCTCGATGTCAAGAGACACCAAAAACAAAGATAGAAATATAAGAACCTGTCAAGAAGAAAATACTGATAACATCTATAAAAGATAAAAGGTTAATACATATAATTAATAAGGACTGCCTACAAATCAGCAAGAAAAAAGGCAAAGAGCCAAACAGGAAAACAGTCGAGTGATGTGAACAGGTAACGCGAAGAATGCCAATGGCCCACTCGCACACTGTGATTGCTTAAAAAAATGCTTTTAGCTGATCCGTACGGTCTGCACCCAAGGGCAATATTTTGTGCTCTCAGTGTAAAGTCTCGTACATTTTTTATGGGATTTCTTCCTGTAGTATGAGAAGCTTAGCTGGGCACGAAGCTGCCTGTGGCACATCCCTGCTATGTGTGGCCAATACAATTAATTTCTGACCGAGTGGGATGTGAGCAAAAATGATAGATGTAACTTCTGGATTCTGCCCTAAACTTCTCCTTCTCTCCTTCCTAGACAAATGGATATGAACGGAAGGGTGGAAGTGGTCGTCTTAGGCCATGCTATTAAAGCCCTGTGTTGAAGATGGCAGAGCAGTAAGACGGAAGAAGGTGGAGTCCCTAACATTCTGGAACCTGTTAGCCCTGGACTGCCCACACTTAGACTGCTAGCTGAAGGAAAGTAAGAACTATCTTGTTTAGGCCACTGTTATTTTGGGGTCTTGGTTACAGTAGACAAGTTCATATCATCTTAAATACAGGCCACGTCTAACGAAATTAGAAATGTGCACAGTCTCTGATTTAGCAACTCTGCTTCTATGTCCCTATCCCAGGGAAATATCCGCACTCATGTACAAAGGTATTCACTGCATCATTGCTTCAGACGGTGGGGAAGATGATACCAGGGAAGTGTCCATCAGTATGGGAATGATTAGATAAACCATAGATTATCCATACTATGAAATACAAGGCAGCATTTACAACAAATGAAGTAGGTCTACATGTACCAACACAGAAAGATATAGAAGACATTTTGAGGAGGATGAAAAAGGAAAGTTGTAGGAAAATTTTATAGTGTGATCCCTTTATAGTATGACCTCTTCTACTTAGGTAAAAGAAAAAATACGATAGATTTGTCTACGCACATGTGTATATAAAAATTGTAGACAGTGAGGTGGTAAACTGGTTACCTCTGGCAAGGAAGCCTTCATTTTTCTCTCATTCTTCTGTACCTTTTCAAAGAAAGTCTTTGTATGTTATTTGGTGCTGAAACATTTTTGGGGGGGTAATACACGCTCTGTGGAAGTTTTGTTTAGTAAAAAGTAAAAATTCTGGAAATAAATTGCCCATAACTTCATGATCGAGAGGAAGCCATTTTTAAACGTTTTGGTATATTTCCTTCTAGCCCTCTTCCTGCACATTTTACACAGTTGAAATATTTTCTCTATATAATTTTGAATCTATTTAGCATTTATCATACGCATTTCCTCTAATGTTAAAGACTCCTGACAGACATTTTCAATGGCCAAAGAATTTTCCATGATGTAAAATCTACCAAAATTTACTCTACATCCTCCTGTTTTGAGTATTTAATTATTTCTGGTTTTCCACTATAATAAAATTACAATGAATATCTTTGTGCATAAAACCGTATCTTGGTTTATTTACTTGGGCTCAATTCCTAGAAATGAAATTACTGTTTCAAAGGACACAAACACTTGAAAGGTACTTAACGCTCATCCTGAAGACACATTCCAGAAGAATGCCCTTTTCCCCAGACCTCCATCGGCACTGAATACTCACTCTCATTAAAAAAACTAAGTCTGGGCCGGGCGCGGTGGCTCAC